CAGTCTCAGGAGTCCAATATATGCACAATTATGCGAATAAACTGTTGAATGCGCGAGCATATTTTTTTACCATTTCCATATTTGCAGATACTCATTAGACTCTGTACCATTTATCGTTCTTGGCAACAGATTCGGCTTTAAGTACGTTGGAGTCTGCCTTATTGCCTATGTCTATGAAAACTGATTCTTGGCAATTATCTTTCCTGAAGCATTGAGTGCCTGTGTAGGAAGTGCTCTTTCTGTTTTTCGTATGCAAATGTTTTTCATACCATATCCCATTCACGAATGCATAAGATTTTGAATATGTTCTAATCATTGAGTGCAATGCAGTCAAGAAAAAGAAAAGATTTATGTGCAGCAAATTTCCTTTCCAGTACACAAATCATATGTTGAAAATATTGCAGTCGCTACAATGAATACTCATGAGCGAGACGCTGGAAGGATCGAAAAGACGCTTCTTAAAATTGGCTACATGAAGATATGAAAAATTTGACAGCATACTATTACTGAGACTGGAAACCCATGGTGTCATCCCTAGGAAGTGAGGATTCGGGGAAAAAAAGTGAATAACGACGTTTAGAGCCAGTGAAAATTTTTCCTCATTCACAACGGAATAGTTTAACTTTCGACAGCACTAATTTCATAATGTCACTGAAAAATCAACTGTGACAATCCTGCTTCCATACAAATTCCTTCGCGTAACCGCCTTCAGTAGGCGGACGGTTTCAGGAACGGGTGTACACTGCAATCGTTGCCAAATCGATTGTTCGATCCAAAAATTCGACATCCAAATTGAGCAACGAATTCGGCATAATCTCAAATTCAAATCTGCGGACACCGTTGCAATATTCACAAGGAGCGATATCAGTAGGTGTGGCAGTTCCTGCCAATAGAGGTTCGTCGTTCAGCTGGTAACGAATAATCTTCATCTTCATCTTCCATCGCCGCTTCTCCTTTTCGGGTCCGCGGAGGCAGACGCGTCAGACAGTGCTTCCAACGTTCCCGATCCTGTGCCAGAGTCTGAGCTTCGGCAAAATGAGGCAGACGCGTCAGACAGTGCTTCCAACGTTCCCGATCCTGTGCCAGAGTCTGAGCTTCGGCAAAAAACAAATGGAGTCTGGAACAGACTCCTTTCATATATTTGCACCAGGTTCATCTTGGCCGTTCCTTGGACTTTAGACGGTCGGATATGCAAGGAACAGTTGCTTAGCCTTCCTTTCTGGACGCATTCGCAACACATGCCCCAGCCATCGCAGCTGCGACTTCTCAATCTGGAGAAGCAAACGCTGTATACCAAGGCTCTTCGAGATATCACTATTCCGGACATGCCGAGACGTGTAAGGCCAGCGACTCTTCTAAGAATGCCCATTTCAGCAGCTTGTACCCAGGTTCGAAGTTTTTCAGTGATGGTCCACGATTCATGACC